AGTGGTCAAGACGACGGAAAACAGTTGTTACAAAGTGAATACGGCGACATGTTAGAGGAGCATTACCATTATCCATTGCCAGAAGAAGCCATGGCAACGGGAAGGGAGTACCCACACAAGAAGGGTAAAATCACAAAGGGTTTGTAGACTGAGCTGTAATGTTTTGGCTTGACATGTTGTGACTGATTGGGGCCAATCGGTAAGTGAACATGAGCGTCAGCATCCATCATTATTTCCACACTAAGTTTTCAAACTAAAATGCAGTTAGCAGTGTTTTCATAGGATTCAAAAATGCCGGAGTAGTGTGAATGCTAGGCTCAGCAACATTTTAAAACAAAAACGTATTAGTGTGGATGTAGCCTTAGACACAAAAACATGGAAAACAAGGTCCAGGTTGAACTAGAATTACCGCCTCGTGGTTGTATGCCTCCACCAATCAGTCAAGAGGCAGTTATAGTGTGAAATAGGATGGGATCATTGCTCTCACCTCAATGGCTGGGTAAAATCCCAGCCGCCTATTTGAGGTGATCGCCAACACTCGCACTTTACAAGTCCAACCTACTGAGCTTTGTGGTGTGGGCCCAAGGTCATCAGGTGGGTACCCTCCTTCAACAGTGTTTCATCAGTTAGCCCACAACACCTCCAGAGGGCTTGACAGCTAACCCCAGCGTCCTGGGGCAGCCCCCTCGGCCCCTTGGGCTCCACAGCCAGTGCACTGTTATGTTCCCTCCCTACCTGGTTGGTTGTTCCATCGCTCGCAGCGTTTCAGCCACAGCCATCTCGATGCTGTCTCTGCTCTTTTTGTGATGTTCACCACTAGGTGTCTCCTGTTGGGACCTCTTATTCCAAGTCTGGACAGGGCACTCCAAAGTGACTGCCCAGGAAACCCTCGGCGGCCTACTTCCACTGGCAAGTTCCACACCCACCATCCCGCCTGTTGGCAAAGTTGGGTGAGTGGTTGGTACTTCCCAAATTCCTCTCATGGGCCTCCTCTATCCTCTCCTCCCATGGCACAGTCAGTTCAAGTTATAGTTTACATCCATGTCTGTCCAGACTCACATGTCACCATGACAGTTGACAATGCTTCAAATGTTGCTGCAAAGACGTGACAAATTCTAAAACCTGGATGCTTCACATACCTTTCCCCCCAGCAGCAGAGAAGATCTACACAATCAGCACAGTTTCAAGGTGGACACCCAGAATTAGTGTCACCAATTCTGACCGAATGTCTCCCCTTCTGTTGTGGTTTTGCAGAACATTATGATGTCACAATAAAGTTGAACTTTTTGGAAATAAAGTGTCATCATGTTATCCTGTTTTTTTGCCATAATTAATGTATGAATTCTTGAGTTAGGGCCATAAACATATTTTGTGAGGTCACAGTGACCTTGACCTTTGACCACCAAATACTACACAGTTCATCCTTGTGTCCAAGTGGGCGTTTGTGCCAAATTTGAGGAAGTTCCCTATAGGTGTTCCTGGAGAGCTCAGTCTCACTCTGAAGTCGTCGAAATCCAGCGCTTGGGCAGTGACTTGCGGCGTCAGAAACCAACAAATAAAGGCGCCCTTTAACGTCAGCATGACACGCGGGCGGTTGCCATTGTAGTTTAACAGGATCCGATGGATTCAGGGGGAAATGTGGCGGGACATGGACAGAAGTTAAAGCGGCTAAAGTCCGAATGGGATGGGTGGGAATGGTGATGGATGGGTCCAACAAACAGCGACTTTCACCCGATAGAGTGGTGTTTGCGTCCCATAAGATTCTAAAGCCAAACCTTGTTCTTTTTTCCTAAACCTAACCACGTGTTTGTTGAAAAAAAAAAACATTGATTCGCGGTGTTGTACCAACATAGTGTGTTTATTTTGAAAGAGACTGTGTGTAATTGTTAAGTTTCCTGTGACAATAGAAGTGTATCTTGAAAGAAGACAACTTGACAGAACATCAACAACCAACGCACCCAAGGTACCTTGTACGTCGCATGTGGACATGGAAACTCCATGACCAAACATCAATATGTGACGAGGACGGAGTGAGAGTGTTGTCCTGAGATGTCACATTCACAAGACGGGGACGGATGGAGGGATGACAAGACTATCTGAAAACATATTGGCCAGTGCAGAGGCTTAAAAATGTTGAAGTGTCCCTTTAAGGCAAATCAATATGTGAGTAGTATAATAAAAGCAGGGGCCATCTGACACTGACAGCATTATGATAAAGTATAGCCGCTGTGTATGGCTTGTTTCAGCCATTGCAGTGTGGAAAAGAACACACGGATCACATATCATTCACTATTCTTCACCGTAAAGAGAGTTTTGTGTTTTATCAGCTGTGCTCACCTGTTAAACCTGCTATAAACCGCCATTGGCAGCTCTTTTATTGCACTTTAGTGGGTAGCTGGACAGGAGACATATGGCTATAAAAGGAGATAAGCCAGGTAATATTCACTATTAAAGAACATTTTTGGCACAACGGGCGACGCAATAACGAGGGCAAACGTGCAGTCACAACTCAGCTCACCCACCCAGAACAAAAAAAAAACAAACACTTTAAGTGCTCAAGAATATAATGTTGCTGTTTGACGCCCTGTGCCAATGAGTTCAGCTCGGTATCAAAACCTGAGTGCGCCAAACCAACACCCAAAGATTCTGTTTTCATTTCATCAAATCATAAAGAATCACAAACACCGTAAAGTCAACAAGTAGGAGAATTAGCAGCCGAGGGCGTATAGACACAGAGAGGAGCCGCGTGGCATGCAGCCATGCAATGCCATTGTGTCTCTGTGGACCCATTGGAGACACAACAGGTGTGTCAATATGACAAGCATTCAACCAATCCACTAAGTCGGCCTCGTATAAACACTGAATAAATATAGATGCTTTCCATTTTCACTCTCAGCAGTGCACAGCTACCGTACGAAAACAGATGAAACGCAAACATTCAGAGATCATGTGGAGTTCAAGGGAAAAGCACTGATGGAAACTATTTTCTCTTGAGACACAATCAACTTTCTGAGCTTTATATTGTCCATTAATTTACAGATAAGACACAGCATGAGGAGGGAAGGCGACATTTTTGTACCTATTTCATTTTAAAGACTCTAAACACAAATTAATCCAAGACACAAAAGAAATTTAGCAACTTATGACTAGAAAATGTTTCCTATCTTTGTATACTTCCATCAACATATTAGATGAACAATTGCACATTTCCTAACACTAATAAAAATCACAGTAATATTCAGTGTTTTGGTACTGTCTCAGTGACCTTATTATCATATTTCACAGAAGCCTACTGTATCCTCTTCATGTGGCACAATTGGGGACGCATCTTGTTGCTGCCTGATATCTCCAGTTTCTACAACATGGGAAATAACACATCCCTCTGCATGTTATTACGGGATTACTGTAGTTCTTGTTTTTTTATATCTCCACAAACGCAAAACTGATGCCAAATAGAATTTAGATGAACAGGTTGGAGAAAATTGGCTTGTCCCCTCCGTGAACAGACGATAGAAAACGGTGCGTCGGGGCTGCCAGTCTCCCACCAGATGGTAAATGAGAGAGACACGGGCGATCGAATAACAAATACAACCAATCAGACGATCAAAAACAAGCCATGTATAAAGGGAGGAAATAAATATTCATACAATTCAAACCACAGCATGCAGAATTTTATTTGTTTATGATTTCTGCACCCTTTCTTTAGGGAGTGTTTCCTTATGAAAAGGCAGATTAATTCATTATTTTATAGAAGCCTTAACAGCATCCTTAAATATCTAAGAGTGTGTAAAGTTATTTTCCGTGGTGTCACACTGATTCAGAGAGACATTGACAGGTTATGGTCGCGCGCATCGCCGCTGTCAATTCCAGGCAATCAAATTAAATCTTTTATCTCAATCCTGCTGCGCGCGGGCCCCATGTCATTCCTATTAGCTGTTAAAGGCCACGGGGAAGAATAAACCAATTTTACGGATCCAGGTGATTGTGTATGTGTGTGTGCATGCGTGTGTGTGCGCGCAAGAGAGGCAGAGAGCTCATTTGCATACAGCTGAATAGTTATGTCTCCCGTCCCGCACATTACACCCGCATGAGGGCGAGAGAGGGACACGCGCCGCAACAATAGGAGGCACGCTGCCTCTAAACCGTAAAACGCATGGGTGGGCATGAAGGGGCACACGCCAGCGACATGATGAAACACACCCAGAGTAACATGTCAGGGGAGAAATGTCAGTTTGGACACAATACGGGCCTGTGCGTCCGTGCGTAAAAGGAAATGTGTGCGTTTTTATTAGGGTTATGGATACTTAGATATCAAAATTAAAAAAGATGTATTGTGTAAATTATTTTAGGTGTGTCAGGGCATTTGATCTGCACATAAAATCAGGATGTTTTGCTTCTAAATGCCTAAAATTAAATATCTTACTACAGAAAGTGAATTTCAACGTCACTAGCGATTAAAACAAAAGCTGGAGAGATTTTTCCTCCTTTTAATCTCATTTCTACTTTCATTGTTTGTGCTCCGGCCCGAGGGAGAGACACGTTTGACCCCACAGAGAGTGAAGGCTCTGAAAGGAAATAGTGCGCACAACGGCTCCAGCACTAGTACGGGCTAATTAGGCGTGCAATTGAGTGGAACCGAGGGCAAAAGGGGAGCAAAAGGAGTAAGACAGTGTAATTGAATTCCTCTCTTTCTATTCTCCAAGTTTCTGCTCTCCTTCATTGTCCTCACCCACTGTCCATAATGTGTAAATGTGCGTCCGGGCGTCATTGTGCGCTAAAAATAAGTCAACAGATGTTAGGGCTTGTTAATAATCGCCCAGTATCCATGGTGGTCAGTGAGCGCAGTGCCAGTGGGTATTAAATCTGGATAATTGTTGTTGGGTTGGAAGGGAAGGGGGTTGAATATGTAGAGTGGGCGGCGCCGGGCGGAGTGATTGACGGTTTATGTAATGAGCAGCGCAGTGCAAGTCTATATATCTGGGAGGAGGCACACTACGGTTCATTCACGAGTAATAAGACGAGTGATGAACATCCGTGGCGCACTGACGCACCAAGTTCAGCACCAAAACAAGCTCTGAGCCGCGCGCGCACAGCGGAGCGACCATTGTGGAGTACAGTACCATGCGAGGAGGGGACGCCTGCTGACACACAAGAAGCGCGGCTGTGGATATTGGTCTTCCCTCACCTTTGGATAACTTGCTTTCCCCCTGGACGCTTTTGACGCACGCCAACAAGGAGCTACGGGGAGAACTCCCTGGGAGTGAAGAAGGATTTATACGTGTTTTTAGAGATCTATTTTTTCTTTTCTTTCCATTTGTTTACCTTGGTGTAAATACTTTGGAGTAGGAAGGTTTTGCTGCTTCTACTGGCTGGTGACGCGGCTGCCCTGGAGAAGCGAGAAGGATGGCAGCCTGGTTCACCTTTACCATTGCATTCAGCACCACGTTGATATCACAGGTATGAGGGAGGAGAACGCATCTCCCGCGGTGGTCCTGAGACCTCGGCGTAAAGCAGATGGAGAGCCACTTGTTTCATGTTTTTTTTTTTTTACAGCTCGTTTTCCTAAATTATATTCCCTTCTCTTTTAGGTATTTGGATCCGGTGTTTTTGAGCTTGATCTCCACGAATTTAAAAACCACAAAGGTTTGCTGGCGAACGGAAACGCGTGCAAACCCAACTGCAGGACTTATTTCAGAATTTGCTTGAAGAACTATCAGGCTGTGGTCTCGCCAGGTGACTGCATCTTTGGAAGTACAATGACAGCGGTGCTGGGGACAAACTCTTTCAGCGCCAAGGACAGCGGCACTTTACCTAAACCGATTCAGATACCCTTCTCCTTTGGATGGCCGGTAAGAGCGTGGAGCTGTGCGTCCACTTTCTTTTATTTGTTTTTATGTTGACAGGGAGCTGCTGCTATGATGTTGTTTCACAGAACTGCTAGGCATTTTGGGAGCGCACCGGTTATTGGTCAGCTCATCTAATCCATATCATTAGGTAATACTCTGTCCACAAAACAGATTGGACCGCTGCTACGTCGTTCATTTCAAAGTCTAGAGGGACATGCAGTGATCACTGTGACACATATTTAAGTGTAACAGAAACAATCAGCAGTCTGTGACACAGAACAGAAAAAGAAAAAATACAAGCTTCCTTCTTTAAATTATAAGATATGTGGAAATTAATATAAAAGAAGTGCAATGACGTTAATCTCCTGCATGTGTTTTGTCCTCAGGGGTCATTTTCATTAATAATTGAAGCCTGGCATTCACCTTATGGAAATCTACCTGTAGGTAAGTGCAACGTTTCTTTACCACAGGAGGGAGCTCTGTCAGTACATTTCACACATGAGACTCTCCAACTAGTTTACCATTTTTGCACAAACAACATGCATCATAAAAAACAGCCAAACTATTAAACACAGCTCAACGTTTCCCTCTCCACCTCCTGTTAATTGTTCTTAATTTCATACATTTTCACGCCTATTCACTTCTTTGTTATGAACTTCAGAACACCTTTTTCATTCTTATACCCAATACAATTGAACTTCCTCTGGTTTATTTTGGTCGTGGGAAAGAGCTGTGGGCTTTGGTGAGAATACACAGCGCCTGCCAAAAACCCCTGACTACATCTTCCTGTATTTTACACCTTACTCTGTTCCGCCCTTTGGAAGAGGGGACTGGGCCTGGGAATGTTTTTGCTGACGGAAAGAAAGAGGAAATTTCAACCTGAGTTTATCTTTCATCTAAGCTGTATGGGATTTGATAAGGGATGCAGCTTGGTCCTGGGCGGATTATTAAAGCGAAAGTGGACGACTTTTGAACCCCACGAGTTATTTATGATGTAGCTCTTGACATGAAACCATAATCATTCCAGGACATAAACAAGTTAGGTGTCCTTCACTAATCCTGACTGTGTTTTTTATCTCTTTCAGATACCAACAACCCAGAGTTTTTGATTAGCTTTATGGCCATCCAGAGACAGCTGGGAGTAGGAACGGACTGGTCTCAGGACATACAGACTGTAAAGCACACCGAGCTGAGATACTCTTACCGGTTCATCTGCAACGAAAGTTACTACGGGGAGAGTTGTTCCAAAAAATGCGCGCCCAGGGACGACCGATTCGGCCACTACACCTGCACCCGAGACGGGCAGTTATCCTGTCTGCCTGGATGGAAGGGGAAATACTGCGAAGAACGTAAGAAACCAACAAAATATCTTCTTTTAGGCCGATTCACACCTTGCTGGTTTGCTCTTTCTTATGTTGTTGTGTTGCTTTGAGCCTGTGGCGGCGTATTTTTGAACATAAAAGGTCATCCAGGTGTTTGCAAATCACCTATAGATACTGGAATCTGTTTCAGCCTATGTGGTTTGATAAGAACTCTTTGTCGGATTGACAGCCCTTACCTTTAAAGAGCTCTGCAAGTTCTCCTCATGGTGTATGACCTTTGCCCTTCCTCCTTGTGGTTTAGCTCCTAGAGAAAAAAAGATTTGTGAGCATGCACACGTTACAGATATCAGTAGTTATTAAGCAGCAAGATAACCCAGAGGTCATCATCATTAAGGCCACAAGACGCTGAGTGCTATAACAAGACATGACGTCATGATATCTGGCAAGTCTGACGAGCAATTTCGGTGCAGAATGCATATTTAAGCCTCATATAATTTGCAGTCATATAATTCTGATGTGTAATTGGTTGTGGGTTTGTGAACACTCATTGAATATATGGTTTGAGGGACAGACGGCTTAGCATGACAACAGGCACATTATACTCGTGCTAACCCACTTGGCCGAATCATAGACCAACACTCCCATGTTTTGGACAGTTCTGAATGGGCCTATGAGGAGGCCCGATGCCATTTGGCTCAACAATACCGAGGGCCCTTTTCACCAAAACAAATTAATCAAAGAGTAGATTGGAAGGAGGCACCGTGAGAGTAATAGTTACCATGTGCTGGATGTGTGGCCACATGGGTGACAGCGGATCTGTCATCCGTGTCACTCGGTGGTGAGAGAGAAATTGGCATGTGCTATTTTGACTGTGGCGCCAAATTCTAACCAGATGGGCTCACGTGTTGCAATTACAGACACATCAATCGTCGGTGACTACAGAAAATATACATGAGAAAGATAGATTAGGCTTCTTTCAGACACTATAATTTCCCCTCTCTCTCACACTCACATACGTCACTTTAAACAAGCCTGCTCATTTGGGCCGTGCACATTTTAGGAGGCTGAAGAAACTCAGTTTTAAAGGTCTTGTGTGTAGGATTCAGTGACATATAGCAGACCAGCTGAAACTTGTCCTGTGTGCTAAGCATGTAGGAGAACTACAGCGGCCGACATGAACACGTGAATGGCCCTATCTAGAGCCAGGCAGTGTCCAAAACTCCATAGTAACATGCCATTAAGTATTGGTAAAACAGTATGTGACATTTTTTAAGCATATCTGAAACCTTAGTATGAAACCAACAGTATATGAATTCCACTTTTTCTGGTGACATATTACAGCATCTCCGTCAGCATAAATCTCCCACAGTGCAGTGCAGGAGAGGACAACATTCGAAGCAGGCAGAGACCAAGACGCCTGTAAAGCTTCAGTTTAAGTGTGAATATGTGCAAAGTGTAAGACTTTGCTTTGCTACACATAATATAGTTTTAAAATGACTTTGAAATTACCAGTAGAGCCAAGGTTGGCACAGGTTACCTTCAGGCATGGAGGCTCTTAGGAAGTGACGTAGTAATTACAGCTCAGTGCGTCCAAACAAGCCCCCAGGAAGAGTGTCAGGCTTTGAAGCCAATTTTACATAGTGGTCAAAAGTGGAACTACACCGTCCGGGGTCCGTCATGTGATGACATGGGGCCCAAAAAGTCATTTCTTATAGACTAACACTGGAAAAGAGACGTCTGTTAATTAATGAATACATTTTCACATCAGGATTTGATCCCCTGGTTCGATGACATTTCTAACATCTAGAAAACCCACACGATTAAATTATTTTATTCCTGTTCACGTTAGCAGGGCGCTAGACTGTGAGTTAGCGGTTTAGCCAACAGAAGCTAGCCACTAGCCACTGCCGTAAGTGTCTAGTGCGCTTTCTCTATGGGCCTCATAATGTGGAAGATGTGGTGAAAATGGAGCTTTTTTGGCTTCATGCGCCACTTAGCAACTTTAATATGAATCAACAACCTCCAACACTGTATCCAGATCTCTTAATACATCAGTGGTTTAAAAAGACAATACTACTGATTATGTACACAAACGCATATTAAACGAAGGTACACATATTGAGTGAACAGTGTAAACCAGTAGCATGTGATTTGAGTAACAGCGCCAGTGTTTGGTTTGTCCGTTCTGGGCTACTGTAGAAACAAAATGGCCGACACTGCGGAGGAACAGCTCATTTTAAGGCATTGTTTATCAGGTAATTATACCCTAATTAAAACAAAGTTATTGGTATTATATGACATTTCTGCCAATGTTTCCTTCTGAAGCCTACACACTGGACCTTTAAGCACAATAAAGTAACATTATAGTCTAAATTACTCGGTTAAAAATATGCTAATTAAACCGAGGGCTAACGGCTAACGAGCACAGCTGTAAAGGCTAAAGGGTCAGCTGCTAGCTTAGCCGTTTCATTAGACAGGTGTGTATTTACCTGGCGTTTTGTCACTAACTGTGTCTCCAGAAAGTCACAGTCACATCCACAACTGCCAGTTTGTGTTTTTAAAATATAATTTTTTTTACACATCTTCATGGAGTACTGTACCGCGCGTGCCCGGTAACATAATCCACACAGACAGGAGGGCTGTGCGCATAGGAGAAGCTCAGGCGACTGCACGCGCCAAGGTTAATCGCGGCATTATTATCCGCCACGCGCCATCGATGTTTAGTCCCCCTCTCCATTGTTGGGCGCGCGGTAGTGGCAGCTGCAAATATGGTTGTGGCAGACCACAAACAACAATAGTGACAGCTGTCTGCTATTGAGAGCAAGCATCTGTTCGGGACTAAACCGGCCGCTTACCGTCAGCCGCCTGATATGTTGTCCTGCGAATCAGTGTCATGCAAGACCGGTACACTTAAAACAGGACAAACAAACCCTCAACTGATTTTTTTGTACCCCCCACTCCCACTGTGTGGCAGCTGGGGGTGTGGCGGACAGGTTTAGATCACATGAAGGCTTCCGAGGAAAGTTGAGACAGATTGAGGCCTCTTAACATACACTGTTTGCTATTTCAAGAAAACGAGGGCTCTGTGGCCTTGGTTATTATGGACTGTGAGGGGCTCCTGCAGTGTTGCTTCACCTCTAACACTCATAGATCTAATTTTCTCTTGCTGTAAAGTTGTGAAACTTAATATCTGACACATTATTTGCCCAGGCACAGTTATGATAAAACAACCAGGTGGGTGCATGTGCAGAAAAAGAGCAGCAGACTTAACTGTATTTGTGTTTTTTGTCTGTAGCTATCTGTCTGGAGGGCTGCAGCGAGAGGAATGGAAACTGCTCCAAACCTGGCGAGTGTGTGTAAGTATTAATAATCCTGAAGTGTTGAAATAGGTGTTGGATGTAAGTGTAGGAAGGAACACATATGGCAACAGTTACATGCACGTGGGGAGCTTCGGTCGTGTTTCTCTGAAATTCATTTTAGGGTTTATTGTCATATTTAACATCAGCGGCTGTGAGTCATACAAACAAGGGCGTAGGTTTGGTTTCAACATTTAGACGGGATGTTTAGGTTCAAGGGTCAGTCATCATTTAATTTTGAGCATTAAGGGATTTTTATGCACCAATTTGTGCCGTTTCTGCCTAAATTTCGAGTATAAATATCTTGAAATTAGTCAAGATAAAAGTGCTACCTTCATGTTTTTATCAGGGGGGACAAATGCACATGTTCTAAATATTGCGTCCCCCTGAAATCTGCACCTATGCCCTATAAATTATGTCCATCTGCGAAGATTCACAGAGGCTTTTTCCAGCATCCCCAGCATTTATCAAGAGAAGTCGCAGCTCACTGAAACAACAAAACATAAGTGCGTTCCCTCCCTCGTATCCCTGCGTCACTCACTGACTTCTCCACTTCCCATGTTCCTTTCGTGTCACTACCATGTCTCACTCACCAGCGGGGATAATTCACACGCACACTTACGCACACACTCACCGGATCGCTGTGAGAAATTCCCCCCTGAATCCCATTTTGCCCTCTTTTTAGACACAAATCCATCATTCCCACCACTGAAACTGGCCCAAATTTAGGTTAAACCCTTCAGACACCCAACACCGTAAAGCTGCTCCCCTGCCTCTGCTTGCTCACTCAGCAGAAGAAAAAAAAATGTTGAAACCTTAAAAGTACATCCCACAATCTTGGGGTTTGACAAGGTTGCGGCGGCGCACTGTGCTGAGAAAGAGATATTCATGGGAAAGAAGAAAAAATGTCTTCGCTGTTGGCTCGATGCCAGAGAGCAATATTTCACCTTTGCGCTATTATTATTTCATTATTTATTTTATCCTTAACACTGCTCATACCTTCATGATTGTGTGCCTCTGTTTACCTTGCAGTTAGTGCGTGCACGTTGTTTGTAATGTCAACAGTGCTGACATCATTATTCACCGTGGTTATGCAGAAAACAGTGTTGTTTGCTTGCAGTAACTGACGTGTAATGATGTCATGATGCTGGTGGAGGACATAATTGCCAGTGCTGATGCGTTATTTCACTTATGGAAGAAAAAGAAAATCACTTTTAATTTTTTTTTGTGTGATGGATTTATATGAGTGTTTAATGACTGTATCCAACTGTGCAGCAGCTATTAATGTCTGCTCGCATGACTGATGATTGATTCCTTAATGTAATCGCCAGCTAATCCATGACGGCGCTATAAAGTCGACGCACTGGCAGTTTTAAGTGCCAGATTCTGATGTGTTATTCACAGCTGTTATAAGATGTACAATAGGAGGAATACAGTGATTAATTAAAAGAATATGTTTTGCTGTTTTACAGATGCAGAGACGGCTGGCAGGGCACCTTCTGCGACGAGTGCAAGAAGTACCCGGCCTGCAAGCACGGCACCTGCCAGCTGCCGTGGCAGTGTAACTGTCAGGAGGGCTGGGGAGGCCTATTATGTGACCAAGGTACAACAGACAACTTGGACCACTGCTGCCGTTCCTTTTTAAGAGACGTTCTCGTGTTACTTGTGCACTGTTTTCATTTGAATTAACTTGAAAGCATTAGTAAATTAGGTTTCCTCTGAAGCTTAGCTTTGTACACATTGAAGTTTTTTGTTTTTTTTTTTTGTCCTCCTGCGGGCTCCCTGTAAACAAACACTCCTCTCTCCCCCCCAGACCTGAACTTCTGCACCCATCACCACCCGTGTGTGAATGGCGCCACCTGCATGAACACAGGACAGGGCAGCTATACGTGCACTTGCCTGCCAGGTTTCACAGGGGTCAACTGTGAGCTGGAGATGCAGGAGTGTGACAGCAACCCCTGCAGGAATGGAGGGATATGCACAGTAAGTCTGAAACACTTTTTTATTCTTGTGGCTAATTCCCTCGTGTTTGACTGTCTGCTTAACTTCCTTTCTTTTTTAATTCCCCCAGAATCTAGAGAGCGGCTACATGTGCACATGCCCCCAAGGTTTCGAGGGCTCGCACTGTGAGCACAGCCTTCTGACGTGCGCCGACTCCCCGTGTTTCCACAGAGGCAAATGCTGGGAGAAGGACAATGGCCGCAGCTATATGTGCGAGTGTCCCCGCGGCTACACCGGACTCAACTGTGAGAAGAGAGTGGACAAGTGCACGTCGCTTCCCTGCGCTAATGGTACGGCCTTCCTCCCCTCTTTGCTTCCCCCCCTCCTTTCTGAACTTCCCCTCGCTCTTTCTCCCCCCTTCGAATTCCTGCAGCAGTGTGGAACAACAGGAATTGGTGGGAACTTGGTGTCTATTGTCCTCCGTATAAACACTCGGCAGCTCAGAGCAGCAGCTTGTAAATGTCGCCACGGCTCGCTGCGGTTGTTGATGAGAGGGGGACAAATATCCAGCGCAGCTCGATTTCTGTCCTCTTGTAAACATGGAGGGCTGTGGGACTGCTGCTCTGTGTTGGGAGAACAATACAAAGCGATGTGGTCACACTGTGGAGATGTGTGAACCGAAGAGGCCTCGTGTTCTTTCTGATGTTGTAATCGTCTTGGATGCAAATTTAGAAAGTCTGTATTTGTTGATACTAACTGTCCTCCTTTTCTCCTCTGTAGGTGGGCTGTGTCTGATCCACGGTGGCGTGCGTGTGTGTAGCTGCCGTTCAGGATTCACAGGCCAGCGCTGTGAAATCAACATCAACGAGTGTGCCGGCAACCCCTGCCTCAACGGCGGCACCTGCCAAGACCGAATCAACGACTACACCTGCGCCTGTCCTGCAGGCTACGGGGGACGCAACTGCGACAGAGTCCTGGACGAGTGCTCCCTTCACCCTTGCCTCAACGGGGGCCTTTGCACCGGCGGTGGCGGGCCAGGCAAGCCTCCAGCGACCTGCATCTGCCCTTCAGGCTTCACCGGGCCTCGCTGCGAGTTCTTCGCCACCGTCACCTCCCCCCCGAATGGAGAGCCTAATGACGGCTTCCAGTGGGCTGCGGTTTCTCTGGCGGTGGGGCTGGTGGCGCTGCTGGTGCTTCTGTGCATGGTGGGCTTGGCGCTGAGGCACATCCACAGGCAGGCGCAGAGAGACAGGGGAGACACAGAGACTATGAACAACTTGTCAAACGTTCAGAAAGACAACCTGATCCCCGAGTGCCAGCTGAAGAACACAAACCAGAAAATGAGCCTGGAGGTGGACTGCGATACGGAGAAATCGAACTTTATCCATAAAAACTATCACTTGGACTCTTACAACTATAAATCGAAGGAGTTCAAGGATGAAAAGTCGCAAGAGGATAAAAGTCTTATTTATGACAAATGTTTAGAAGACAAAATGCCCTTGAGTAGAATGTACAGGTAAGAAGAACTCCACTGTACTAAAGTCATTTCCATACGTCTCCTCCATTGTATATTTGGAGTAGAAACACTGTTAAGTTACTGTAAAGTTTCATTTACAAGTATACATATTTGTCAATTGCTTCCTGCTGCTTCCCCGTACATGTGTGCGCCTGATGCATAGCTCTGCCATGTGCTTCTAGTTTGCATTAACGCAAAGTGTGATTTGTGTTTGCAGTGAAAAGCCAGAGTGTAGGATATCAACGATATGCTCCTCGAGAGACTCCATGTACCAGTCGGTATTTGTTATAGCGGAGGAGAGGAGGGAGTGCGTCATAGCAACTGAGGTAAGCCAAAAAAAATTCACATCTTCATCAGCTTTTTTTTCCCCTCAGATCCTCCACTCTACATGTCATCCCCAGTTCACCGTCCCTCACCCCTGCACCAATATTTATGACAGCCGATAATGCAATTTGTAGAAAGACAGCATTATGGGTACTTAGCTGGGGAAGAAGCCCAATCAACTGCATTATTAGTTTCTGTAAATTACTCTGGCGATTCTTTATTTTGGCCACGTGATGACCCAGAGTCCGAGCTTATACTGATTCCTCACACATGTTTGGCTCTGCTCGGTCTCAGAGGTGCAATGTTTTATTGCTGTGGCATTTCGTGGAATTTTTAAAGATATTCATTTCCAAGGAAAATATGATGGCGATACTGAAGCATGTGACCTGTAAGAGTTAAAAAAAAAAAGCACTCTGAAAACACTTAAAGGTCCAGTGTGAAGGATTGAGGGGGGTGTATTGGCAGAAATGGAGTATAATATAAAAAGTGTGTTTTCTTTAGTGTATAATCACCTGAAAATAAGAATCATTTCATTTTTGTTACCTAAGAATGGGCCGTTAATATCTAGTCAGGGAGCGGGTCCTCACTAGGAAGACTGCCATGTTGCACCGCTGTATCAGTGGCCCAGAACAGACCAACCAAACACTGGCTCTAGGTAGGGCCATTCACGTTTTTGTGTCCACCACCATAGTTAGCTGCCCTGAAACTGCTTTATTCAGTGTTTCTGCTGGTTTAAATCACCGGTCTGTTTGTTTTGGAGAGAAGGAGACCTCTACGGCTCCCAATAAAAACCTCCTGAACCTCTCAATCTTAAAATATCAGACGAAACTGTGAGCACAGATTAGCAGGTGTTCGTTAGAGGCACGTCTCAGACAAGCCAAACAGCACCAGAAAAACACAGATTTGTAACATGAAACTGCTTCATTCAGTGTTTTTACTGGTTTAAATCACCGGGTTGGGTTGGTTTGGGGAGGAAGAGACCTCTGCAAATAATTCAGCTCCGAAGAAAAACCTCCTGAACGTCTGGATCTTAAGTTATCAGACAAAAAAGCAGAGCAAAGATAAGCAGGTGCTAGATAGAGGCCCGTCTCTGGCAAGCCAAACAGCTTCAGAGAAACACAGATTTGTAACGTGAAACTGTTTTATTCAGCGTGTTTACTGGTTTAAATCACTGTGTATGTTTGTTTTGGGGAGGAAGAGACCTCTGCGGATAATTTGTCTCCCAGTAAAAACCTCCTGAACAATAAACACTGAGCAAATTCTAACCAGTTTAAGTTCCAGCTAGTTATAAGCTGCACATACTCAGCACTAAATCCCCCTCAATCTTACACACACAACTTTACACTGTTATTTAGTTGTACTTAACTCCAATTTTCTCCTTTCTTCCCGACAGGTATAAACTGTGAGGGGTTCTGAAAGCGAGGGAACGAGGAGAAAGACACAATCGAGGCAGAATGAAACATTCTGGATTGTTTACAAATGCTGAGAAGAGACTGGAGATTGTTTTAGATGTCCACTGCTGCTCTGGAACACTTGAGGAACTGGGGAGGGCAGAAACCTCTGCTCCGTGAAAAACACAGAAAAAAGGAACTGAGAAACTTTATGTTGACCGAGTGTTTGTATGCAAAACATGTACAGTGAAGGACCTCTCTCAGTTGTGACAATGGTTGAACGGACTGGCAAATAGACTGACTACACAAGGTGTGGAGACTGAAATATTAATTTATAATCTCGGGCCATCCTGGACAGTAGAAGGAGGTGAAGGTGGATCGTTGCTCCTCGTATCTGACCCGGCCTTGTGTGATAATCATGACTTTGACAGCCAACCAATCAGTAAAAAAAAAGGTGCCTAAGATATGACCCCTTCAAATCCCCCCACCCCCACCCACACCCCCACCCACACACTCACTCCTGCCAGCTTCGCCTGCTATGCAAGACTCAGGGTTGAGACGAGTGAACTCACCCCACTGTCACAATCCAACCTCACAAACACTGAGAGTTATGAATGTCTGAAACTAATCTTCAACTGTCAATCAACGTGAAAATGACTGGTTGGACTTTTCCATGCAACGGTGAAGATTGTATGCAGCCCAAAATTCACTAGAAGCCTTAAAAGAGGGGGTTTGAACGCTAAATTTGTGCCCTTGTCTGTTCTTGGATCATTTGCACTACATGAAAAAAAAACAAAATCGGGGGAAAACACTTTTTAATCAACAGGGATTTGAAGAGAAAAACCACAGGAGCGCAATAGTCAGTGCTGTGCCAGCAAGATCCAAGAAAAAGTTTGCATAGAAAAGTATTTTTCTATGCAGCTGAACTGAGAAACACAAAGACTCATAACAAGGAGAAGAGACTGTCACACCACTGCCTGCCTATAATAAATTTCAAAAATACAGAACCAATAATGTAATTTTTTAAAATGATTATTTCCAGAGTTTAATTTAAATATGACACACTGCTCTTTATATGTTTTATAATATTATTTTGTATATAATGCATATTTATAAGGACCAAACTTCTGAAGAATAAAACTTCCTTGAAAACTGTTTTTAATTTGATGTCAGTGAATGGAAAAGGAACTTATTTTTGAGGTGTTTTTAAATAATGAAACTGAGTACAAATGATGATCAAATGTGTCTTGTATTTATTTTTGTTTTAATTCTGAGGAGCTTTCATCCCAATTGATAGCTATATTGCTGAGCTGAAATTGAGAGCAGGTTTATGAATATGAAATCCAGCTGCTCTCCTACATTCTCACACCATGTTTAATATTTTGGGCAATACATAGAACTATAAAGCCTCTCTGACTGTAGCATCACTACCTCGAGTAATTCCTGGAAACGCCTTTGGCTCCCGCCCCACTCACCCACCCCTCGCTCTCTCTCCGGCCCTAAATTGGCTTGAAATTCAAATCCGTTTCCACGGATACCACCCCCTCAAGCTGGAAATGGCGAAACAAAGCCAGGCGCAGGGCAAAGGGGAACGCCTCCCCCCACCCCACCCCACCCTACACACCCCTCATAATGCTCGCGCACACACGCGTCCACGCACACACACACCAGCCCACCAAACAGATGCCGTGGGGGAGCACGGAGTGAGTCTGCAGTGCCATAAAAACAGCAGCATATGCCAGGCCTCTCGGCCCGTGTGCATGACACAGAGTGCACAGACCTCCTCCCATAAAAAACACACTGGAGCACTTACAGGCTCCCCAACTGCCTGCCTCCCCTTCAGGGTTAAGAGCAATATTTCAATGCCCGGTTCTGTACCACCCACTCCTGCGAACAAAGCTTGAGGGAGAGGGCCTGGCACCAGAGGGGAGGGGAGACCAAATGGGAGCCAGTGGATCCTCGCTGAATCCACATAAATAAAAAGGTTTTGGAAAAGTTGACTTATCGGAGCCATCTGCTCGGTCTCACTGCCCTCTGGAAAATGTTTGTCTTCTTCTTAAAGCTACAGTTGGTAACTCAAATCATGTTCGTGTGCCTTCTTAGCGGACTTTTAATGGCATTTGCAAGAATCTACCACACCTTAACAGAAACAACCAATCAGAGTCAAGGGGTCTCTCTCTAACGCAGCTGTCAATCATGTCAGTTACTGCTCGTGAACTGCGGTCAAAGTGTCAAACTAGGCAACGCTGATTTAATGAATCAAGATTCTGTGACTTCATTGCCTATTTCTCACCTCAAATGTTTTCACAAACATTTTTGAGAACGTTTGCTCCGGACAGTGGCTGGTGCTTCGTTTAGGCTAGACTGTTTCCAATATGGCAGCCGGGTCATAAACAAAATTTTACAGGAACAATGCCATCGTTCCGAAGGCCCAAAACTCCAAACCCCCATTTGTCCAAAAATGTCGCTTTGGACCGAAAGCCCATTTCTTCAACAGCCCATCACCCCCAACACAAATGCCCGTTGCGCCAAAGTTTCCCTTCAGTTTCCCGACAGGATTTGAGCCACCAGTCACATGTTTTTACTGACGCTTAGCGGCGTTCTCCCACAGCATTTGAGGCACCAACCCCAGGTTTTTTTCCTGACCTTCGTGACGTTTCCCAGTGGCGTTAGAGCCACCAATCCCTGGTGTTTTTCCTGACCTTCTGTGGCATTACCCAGTGGCGTTTGAGGAGCCAATCCCCGGTGTTTTTACCAACCATTTGCAGCATTTCCCGGCAGTGTTTGAGACATCAATCCCCGGTGTTTTTACTGATCTTTGCGGCATTTCCCTGCAGCATTTGAGCTACCAATTCCAGGTATTTTCACTGACACTTCGCAGCGTTTCCCGGCAGCGTTTGAGCTACCAATCCCAGGTGTTTTCACGGACTCTTAACGGCATTTCCCAGCAGCAGATAGGTTACCAGTCCCAGGTGTTTTTTTACCAACCCTTCGCTGCGTTTCCCAGCAGTGTTTGAGCCTTTGATCCCAGGTGTTTATTACTGACAGTCCGCGGTATTTCCCAGTGGCTTTTGAGCTACCAATCCGAGGTGTTTTTACCAACCCTTCGCAACATTTCCCAGCAGTGTTTGAGCTAAGCGGATGTTTTTCACCAACCCGTCCAGCAACTTTTTTGCCACCAAACGTGATCAAAAATGATCTTTATTTCCAACTATAACTACATGGATTTTGTGCCTAAACCTAACCTCAAATTCACCACAGCATTGTTGGCAAATGAAATGAAATCTGTGGTTTACAGAAACGTAACTGCAGGGAGTTTGTATTATCAGAGAAACAGAACTTTGGAGCAATAGGTGTTTGTTTCTGGGATAACGGGCTTTTGGTCCAATAGGATAGTTTTTGGACTACTGGGGCTTCAAAATTATGGGCTGATGGAACAACGGGCAGTTCCCAAAAATGTTTATGAAAACATTTGAGATGAGAAATAGGCAGTGCAGTAACAGAATCCTGATTCATATTTGATCAGTGCTGCCTAGTTCAACAGTTTGACCTCAGTTCAGGAGCAGTGAGTGATGTGATTGACAGCTGCGTTACTGCAAAGCCATCAGGAGCATCATGAGGAGGCAGAGGAATATAATTTGCTTCTGTCCCATGTACTACTGTCAAGGAAATTATGACAGATTCAGAAAATATGACAAAAAGTTACCAACTGCAGCTTTAATGAACCACCATTCTTTGATGATGACGAAGAGATATCACCCAGCATCGGTCTTAAAATTCGTTCCAGTGTGTCTGAAAATCCATTTTAGGAAACGTGTCATCCACATTATCAAATGCAAACCTCTCCTGCCTCCAATTAACAGAAATCCTGCGACAGTCAACACCCCCTAATCATCAGCAATCAACACTCGGCAGAGAATCTGGATGGCTTTCCCCTCACACACAACCTGTTAGCCTGTTGACCTAGGCATCCTCATCTGAGGGCTTCAGTGTGCATAAAAAAAAAAGTTTGGAAAAAGATGCTTCCGGCGTGGCTTGAGATAAACATACATGTTATCACAGCGACTCACTTTGAGTTTCTTCCCACCATCATCACACCTATAAGCAGACACACACCCTCTTTCGCACTTGATCACAGTGGCAAACACATGCTAGAGCTTTGCTCTTTGGCCTCTGGGTCTCCATAGCATGGCCAAGCATTTTTCATTGTGTTATAATCACAGCATCCTGTTTGTGACCTGGTGACATCAGTTCCTGTTTCCTCCCTGATTAAAAAATGCAGAACATGCCGGCGCAGGCCGACTGCTTTTCTCACGCATCGTGTTCTTTAATCTGCACTGGGGTTTTCAGGAAACAACCTCAAAACAAGCGAGAGCACAGACAAACACGCTAATCAGCACTATTTATTCTGACGGAGGAAGAGGGCAAAATCTGTGACACCATGTCATGAATGGAGAATCACAACACAGATTTGAAATTCAAATCTTCCCATCTCCTCGTGAGGAATGTGGAAGTGCCTCGACATAACACTTTTTAGAAATGGTGACGCTAAGTCACAATCAGAATGCAAAACTGCTGCTTAGCTCTGGATCTCTTTCAGAGCTGCAACTGTTTGTCACTTCATTTGAAGCCTCATTTAGCTCCTGACTGTGCATGTTTTTGTGCGTGCATGAATGGATTATACAACAGGCCTACTGGGCTCAGGCCCAGCGGCCCAAAGTGTCAGGGGGCAGCCTGGCCTTCACTTGCAAAATGTAAGTCAAATTAACACGGAACGACCAGGTAGAGACTCAAAAGGACCACAAAGAAACTGCAAAGAGACACAAAATAACTACAAAAATGGGCAAAACAACCATAAACAGACACAAAACGACCACAAGGAGAGACAAAAAGACCATAAAAGACCTAAATTGCCTCAAAGAGATATAAAGTTACCTCAAAGGGACACAAAACTACTTAAGAGACACAAAATTACCTCAAGTGGACCCAAAATTACCTCGACAGGACACAAACAATTACCAATTCACAAAAAAATGACTATAAGGAGACACAACATGACCAAAAAACACATGAAATAGTCCTAAAAGGACACAAAATTACCTCAAAGGGACATAAAATTACCTCAAAGGGACACAAAATTATCTATGAGACAACAATTACCTCAAAGAGACACAAAAT